GAACACAGGGCCTTCACATCTCTGGCCCCGCTTTACTTTTTGAGACAGATTCCTTCTAAGTCACCAGGATGCTCAGACTGTTTTTGACTTGCGAGCCCCTTACCTTCTCCTCCCAGAGTATGGGATTGCATGGCTATAAAGCGCCTCATTGAACTTTGGTTTCCCAAAGTAGAAGCATCTTCAGGTTTGCGTCAGAGGGTCTGTGGGTGTCTCCAGTCAGGGAGACGAGCCCAACCCACTGGCCAGAGGCCTTGTAAGACAGTCACAGGGACACAGGTCACGCTTGCTGAGGAACTTGGAACCCTGTGACTTCCAGTGATGCCAAAATCTGCTTCTTACAGACCCCATGAAAAGCTTTTCCAAATTCAGTGTGGAAAGTACGGGACACTTGGCACTGGTTGAGAAAGGGACGGTTATGGGGCACTAGTCCCTTTCCATCAAAAGGCCTGCATAATGTTCCGCAGAACCTTTAGAGTTACACATGGCTAAATGTCATGAGCAGGACAATCCTTAGCTGGGAAATGTAGAGGGTGCAGGAGGCCCATGCTGCGTGGTCTGGAAGGATGGTCTCTTCCAAAATATTTAACAGTAACAAGGACTCGATTAATCAGCTACAGGACTTTAACAACATGTTCCTTCCCTCCCACTCAGTTCTCTTTCTTTTCCTCCAGGGGATGAAATTGAGTATCTTTAAATTTGAGTCCCCAGGACCAGAGGAGGTTACTCTGGCTTGTGGTGCTGGGGGCTGGGAAAATCAAGATCAGGTGGCCACACCTGGGACAGCCCCCATGTGTATCAACCTTGGAGGAAAACAGAAGGGGAAGCGGGTGTGCACAAAGGAAAAGCAACTTCGCAAGGGAGGGGAGGTGCCAGTCTCACTTGCTGGCAACCCACTCGTGGAAGGAATGAACCCTTTCTCACCAGGCCTCCCCCAGCCTCTGGAGAAAGACATTAATTCGCTCATGAGGGCGGTGACCAGTGACCTGGTCACCTTCCAAGGCCCCACCTCCAAACACTGCAGCTTTGGCAACCAAGTATCAGCACGAGTTTTGGAAGAGACAAGCCACACCTAAACCACAGCCAGGAATGCGTGCTGATGATTCTCTTATGAGAACATGTGTGCGCGCGTGTGTGCGTGCACGTGTGCGTGTGTACTCAGTCCACAGGTTTGAGAGATTGTCTCTTTGCATGTAGCTAAAAGCAAAGCAGAGCACCCTAACTTTAGCTTCAAATGGCTGCCTGCTTCACTGCTCACTTAGTTTTGTTTCTATTGTGACCAAAGAGCCCTTCCCACTGAGGAAATAAGCCATAATTCTGCGGTTAAATGGAACAGTTTGCGGTGAGAACAGTCACTCACCGTCTTTCTATTCCTGCAAGCGGGGCAGAGGCAGAAGTTCTATTTAAGGAGACTCACGGAGCATTTTGGGGGCAGGTGAGACTGAACAAAGCACTGAACCCTTCCCCCAGGGAGGGAGGAGTAAATTTGAGCAGGGCATGACAGGAGCTGAGGTCTACTAATGGAGAAGGATGGGGGGGTGTCAGCGTGGCAGGACTTGGTCAGTAAGCACCCACTTACTGGCCCCCAGCCCCCCAGCAAATTCTCCACCCCTGTAATGACACTGGGGACCTAGGAGGTGACATGAAGTTTCCTGCTTCAATTTGTGCACCATGGGGCTGGGGATTTAGCTCCGCGGCATAAGCACCTGCTTTGCAAGCAGGCAGTCGTGAGTTCAATCCCTGGTACTGATAAAAAAAAAATTACAATTTGTGCACCCTGAACAACTTGGTGAGGGGGCTGCCACCTGATCACAGAACTGTCTGCGGTGTAACCCAGTGTGCAGGTGGCCTGGAAAGAAGTACTCGAGGAGCTGGCAGCCTTGAGGCTTAGGTGGACACCCAGAGTGTCCTCTTTTTCCCTCCCTGTCCCAGCCCCAGAGAGAGCCAACAACCAGCTTTTGCCAAGACACTTCCCTGAAACAAGAGGCAGGAAGGAAAGCTGGATTTCCTAGCTCTCCCCCTTTTCCTTAGTCAGCCCGGCAGGCTGATGAGGAATTCTATGAGAGGGAGGATCTCAGCTCCACATTCGCGCTATAAAAAGCATCTTGCATTTGCAGTGTGTCAGAGATGGTTATATTCAGTCAGAGGCTGCGAACTATTTTCTGAAATCACTCATACCCATGCAGGCTTACAAACAGGTGGGATGCAGGAGCCCACAAGGGTAGCTGATACTGAATCAGAAGCTCTCCGCGTTACAGGAAGGCGATCAAGAGAAGCAGAGAGGGGAGGGAAAAGAGGTGAAAGGGAAGGGAAGGAATGAAGGAGAATGCGAAGTGCCAAGCAACTCCTCACAATGAATGGGATTACTAAGTGTCCCAAACATGCACTAATACATTTTTAATTAAAAAAAAAACTGTATCCAGTAGAGCTATACTTTCCTAGAACTTGGGATTTACATGTTAATATCACTCGTTACTTTGTCTCAAAAAAAAAAAAAAAAATACAGGGCAAGAAACAAAATTGTTGACAGCATTGCAGGCCTGGGCAGGAACCTGAAGGGGGCGGGGGGCTCTCATTTCCCAGCCTCACCAAGGGTGACCTTCTCTGCTGCCAAGTCTCGCTCTGCAACTTGTCTGGAGGGAAACAGGAAGCGCCTGTGGTACCCCACCTCTCTGTCCAATCACGTTGTTCATGCTCCTTCTCCCCAGCTTCTCCTTCCCGACAGCGCTCTCATCAGATGTAAAGTCGGCTTGTGTCGCCACTCCTGGTTCCACGCATGCGCACCCATCACCTTTACCCTCTCCCGTTCCACGCACTGCTGGGCCCACTCCAATGCATGTCTGTTCGACATCACCGACTGCCCGTTTCTTCTTCAGTCCCTTTCCTGGTTTTTTTGTTACTTCCTCTGGCAGCTATCCTGCAGTCTGGTCAATCGGTGGGCAAGTTGCTCAGGCCTGGCTCTAGGCCCTAACTGACCCATACTCAAGGCTTCTTCACGTGAGCACTTTCTGGATGATTCATCTCTTAGTTGAGTCCCAGCTCTGCCTTGCCAACACCAACTTAGCATCTCTTTTGAGCATTTCAACAAGCAAACAGCCTGCTCGCGTGATTTTTTCACTCCAGTTGGTCCTCTCCTAAGATTTACATTATGTGAACCAGGGCGAATATCCATCCTCGGCCACAAGACAGAAACATGCGCACTTTCCTTGAGTTCTGTTCCCATTTAACCCACCCCTTGCAAACACACACACATGCCGCACACGGGGTCTCCCAAACGGTCCTCAGATCCTTTTAGTTACTATCTGGGACTATCACCCCGCCGCGACCAAACTTTCACTCCTTGCCACCTGGACCACTTCTGCAGCCTCCAGGCCTCTTTCCTATGAGAACTCTTTCCAAAATGCTATTCTGAGCATGCCAGCCCCTTTGCTGAGCATGCTGGGTCTTCCCTTTGCACTAAGGATAAAACGATTTCCAAGATGGCCAGTATGGCTCTTCTAAATTTTGTCACTTTACCCGCCTTCTCAATTTCATCTCACAGCTCCTTGCTCTTCCAGGAGGCCTGGCCTTGCCTCAGTTTCTCCTGCCTACTCTGCTTTCTCTCATCACAGGAAGTACGAGCTTTGCCTAGTCAAACTTGTTGTCAACTCAAGAAGCAGTTTCTCAGACAAAGTTTTCCTGGCCGCATTAATTGTATCAATTAGTTTTATGGTACTATGGATCCTTACCATTGTGCCTTATAATAGTGGTAACTTTCTTTTTTAAAACTCATTTCTTTTATATGAGAATTGATGAAGTCTGCAAGATTTGTTGTGCTGCCGCTGCTAGCACATTGCTAGCAGACAACGGGCATGTGATAAACATTTACTGGTGAAAAAGTAAAGAATGAAGTAAAGAAACCCAAGAGGGGAAGAAGAAATGGGTAGACAATGAATGAATCAATGTTCATAAGCTTTTAGAGTCGCCAGGAGTGGGCCAACTCAACAGGTAATAGGACAATGGTCTACCTGAATTTGTTCATTCAACAAATATTTACGTATTCGTTATTAAAGTAACATATTGGGCTGGGGATTTAGGCCAGCGGCATAAGTACCTGCCTTGCAAGCAGGTGATCGTGAGTTCGACCCCCGGTACTGATAAAAATGAAAAAAGACAAATAAATAAATAAATAAATAAAGTAACATATCTCTGCGAACCTAACTGTTCCTTTTGGAAATCACAGGAAAGTACTCAAAAGAGGGAACCAAATCACCTTTCATTCTGTAGTGAAACAAACCACTGTTAAACTAATTTAGTGCACACCTTCCCCGGCCTGTCTATGTATTTTTGCGTGCTTGTGTCTTGCTTCTTTCTTAACGATCCCTCGGTGAGAATTCCTGGAACACATGGCTTTTGAGGTGCTAACGTGTTTTCCGCTGCAGGGATGGTAGCAATTTAAATCCTTCTCCCTCGCGGTTGGAGATTCCAGGCTTTGTCAGTTAATGGCTTCTATAATATTTGCACACGTTGTGGGGCCTGGAAATCGGGTAATCCAGGGAATCTGGGAGGAGACGGACGGCGGAGACGCGGAAGGCGGCTTTCCCGGGCAGCAGCAGAACCGAGCAGCCGGTGGGCGGCGGCAGGCAGGTGTGTGCCCCGGCAGATGCGCGCACGCCCAGCGGCCCGGCCCAGCGCCTGACCTTCAGGCCCCGAGGCAGCAGCCGGGAGGCGCGGCTCCGACTAGCGGGACGCCACCGCCAGGCTCGCTGAGTCGCGGCCACGCGCCGCCACGTGCCAGCACAGGCCCCGCCCCCCCGCTCCCGGCCACGACCCCGCCAGCCAATCCCGCGGGCCCCTCGGGGGCTGGGACTGCGTCGTCTCCAGGCGACCTCCCCACGGGTCATCCGGGACCCCGGGCGTAGCCACGCCCCCAGACCGCCGACCCCGCCCCCGCAATCCGGGCCCCGCGCTGCCCCACCCCGAGGGCCGCTGGGGCGGCGCGGGGGCGGGGCCTGCGCGATGACGTGGGCGGCCGTGCGCGGTGACGGCCCGCGTCCCTGTTACTCAGCGGAGCTGTGGCGGCCGGACGACGCGGCCGGGATCGCGGGCCCGCGAACGGCACCGGGTAACGGCCGCGAGGACCGTCCTGACGGCGCCCGCGCCCCCGGCTGGCTTCCGCGTCGTCGCCGCCCGCGCGGCCGGGTGAGTGCGGCGGGCCCCGGGGCGGACGCGGGGCGGGCGCGGGGCGTCGGGCCCGCCGAGCGGCTGTTATTGTGCGGCCGCCGCCTTCTCCGCCGTGACCCTCCGGGAGGGGGCGGCGGGCGGGGGCGCGGGAACAATAGCGGCCGGGCCGGGGGCGCGGGCCGGGCCGGGCCGGCCGGGGGCGCGGGCCGCGGGGCGCAGCCTACCGCCCCAGCTCGCCGCCCGCCCGCCCGCCTGCCCGCGCGAGTCCCGCGTCCGCGTCGCGGGGAGAAAATGGAGCGGGCGGGTGGCAAGTTGGAAACCCTCGGAGGGAGGTCGGCACCGCGCTCGGCTTGCCGGGCCCCCACGCCCGGCTCTCGGGGGCTCCTTTGTGCAGACACGGGCGGCGGCGGCTCGAGAAGGCTACGCTTGTCCGGCCCGGGCTTCGGGGGACCGGGCCCGGCTGCGGGGTGTATGTCCTGCTCGTCCGGCTGGGCTGCGGGCCGGCGCGCCTTTCTAGGCTGCGGGTCCCTAGGCCGTGACCTTTTGACTCCTTTGGGCCACCCCGCCGTCTCTTTGTCTTGCATTTGGGTTCCACATCCAGAGGTGGCTGAAACAAGTCCGTTTCAAAGTACAGCGGTGAACCTCTGCCTTCTCCTTTCCGGCCGTTCCCCAGCCGATCTTCACTGTAAATTTAATCGTCCATTGACTGCTAGGCGTGGGACAGTGTCCAGCGGTTACTATTTTTACCTCTGAAATTCAGCGGTGTTCCCAGTAGAATTCTGGCCTGTCAGCCCCATTGTGTTTTGAGATAAGCATCCAGCGTGTACCTCCTTGGCAGGGAGAACATCTGTTTATTTCATTCATTCATTCGGCAGCTGTTGAGTGCTGTGTCCAATCGGAGAGGTTTGAAGGTAAAGAGAAATATCCTTAAATGGAAAAGGATACTTGAACTGAAATGTAATAGACGTGGCTTTAAATAAGATGATTATATAAGGAATGTGTCATAAGGTAGAGTTGTATACTCTGGCGCATTTTATTGTTTTCTAGCGTTGTGTCTGGTGGAACTTCAGGAGTAATTTCATATTAGGAAGTAAGAGTTAAGTTTGGTCAAAGTGTACAGCAGCTTTTATTTTTAAACATATTTGTCCTAGTCTGATAGTTACCTGTATGGTTACCCGTATTTCTCTGTTGGGGTTACCTGTTCACCCTGGGAAGTCAGATGCTCTGAGGCAACCCGCGGCGCCCTACAAAGGAAGCAGTTGGAATGGGATGTCTTGAGGTGAGGACTGGCTTGCAGCTGGCACAGCCCCGAGGATAGTGATATGTCAAATCGAGCATATACGGAAAACTTAATGTTCTCCTTGGAGTTTCAGACACATCATGCAGACTGTCACTTCCAAATAGCTGGCTGGCTGGTTGATCAGTTCATGAGGTCCATTGACTGTTGGAGAGCTTTGGAATCACTTCAGTGTCAGTTTCCTTTCCTGGCATTTCTAGTTTGTTCCAAAGTGAAACCTTGTCTAAATGATTTTAGTGTGACTGATAAAGAAAGGTGGGTCGTGAGATGGGTGTATCTCTGTTTAATCAGCCGAGTATCCCGGTTCCGAGAATTCACTGCTCCACAGTCTGAACCACTTCTGGTCCTGTGCCTTTTAGAAAGGTGATGCGCAACCTGTGTGTGCATGCAGACCTGTACAGTGGTACTGTATTTTTCTGTAACTGTGTTTATTTTGTAAATATTATTTGAAAGGTTTTTAGTGACTCCTTTGTTTTAACTGGAAAGTAGGACACAAGAAACTGCATAAATGTTTTATTAGAAACAATTAATTTCTAGTAACATTTTAGAAGTGCATATTAGAAACATTAAGTTGTGTGCTGATAGTGTTGCTGAAGTATGTAGGCCGGAGCTTTTCCAACTCACTGTTAATGTGTGTCAGCATTTGTTTTGGATATGAAAGAATACAGATTGAACTTACTTGATCTAAATAGAAATAAATAAGAAAATTAATACGCTGTTAATAATGTGTTAAATCTTCAGACACCAAACTTTAATTGCTTTACCTATTTAAGGTTTATTAGGTTTCACTAAGGGTTACTGATTTTAAAAAAAAAATGTTTTTGTGGTGGCTCGTAGCTTGTGTTCAGAGCCATAGTTGATGTTTTGTTTACTGCCTTCTGCTGGCTTTTGAAAATAGTGCTTTGTTGGTATGGATCAGAACGTTGACCCTTGCGTACGTTCCAGTGGCTTCGAGCATCTTCACAGAGCTGTGCATGGGCCACTGCTGTTCAGTTCCGAACCTGTCATCACTCCCGGGAGAACCCCGTGGCGTTAGCAGTCACTTCACATTCCACTTTAAATTACTTTTTAAAAGAAACGAGCACAGATTCTGTTAGGAAATGGTTTCTTCAGTGAGTTTGAAAAGCTCTCCCTTTAAGTACCCTGGCAGAAGGAGACTGAGTTCTTCGTATTCCTTTAGATCCTCAGGGAAAGGCCACTTGGAATTACTGTAGGGACTACATTGTATCAAAATCAGTAAGGTCGGAATTTTAACTCTTTGTTCCATGCCTAATATGAATGTTATGAAGATGCTGATATTCAGCAAAACAAGTTAATTTGTTGTTAACTAACTAGTCCATAACTATCCTGGTGGTACTTGAGAGATCACTGAAGAGGAGCCTACTTCTGGTTGGTTTGTTTTGGCAGTGGGTTGACTTTGACATATTTGAATCATACATGGTTGAGATGCTTTGTTGCACCTGTGGAAGTATAAAATACCAAGATGCCAGCTCCCTTAGGTCTGTGGTCAAGCCAGCGGTATGGGTAGCAGCCGCTGTGATTCACATAGTGCCAGGAGGTCATCAGAGCCACATGGCTTTCAGTGTGAATCACTCGCCTGTTTCATTGAGCTGTGCTGCTTACTGTCTTAGTCATGAGTTCTTACCTGAACGTTTCAGAAGCTTTACGCTTGCTGTAATACAGGTTACTTTTAACTTCGATTTAAAGAATGAATTCTGATTCAAGAGAACTGGTTATATAAAAGGTGACAGAGGACCATGATGTAGCTCAGTGGCAGAGTACTTGCCTAGCATGCACAAGGCCCTGCGTTCAATCCCCAGTACTGTAAAAGTAAATAAATAAAATAAAAGTAAATACATAAGAGCTGATGAGAGTCTTGAAATAGTAGGCAGTCTATCGCTCAAGGTGGTGGTAGGGCTGCAGCAGTCTAGGTATCAGACCTGGATTCACTCTGGAGTCTATCATAAGCAAGCTTTGGAGCCTCAGGGAAGTTGCCTAACCTTTTTGATTTTGGAACTGTAAGTGGAGGCTGCCAGAACCTTTTCCTTTATAAAGGCTGGGGCCCAGATGAGGTTCTTGACAAAACATTTATGAAAAGATGGTGTTGGGCGATTGTCATGAGCTCCTGTCATTGATGCTGGTCCTCCCGGGTGGGGGCCGCTCAGTAGTAAAAAACCTACCTCACATGATCGAGGCCCTGGGCCGGCAATTAAAAATTACCTGTGTAGTTTTCAGAAGCAGAGAAAATTGTTATTCTTTTTCTCCAATAGGTAGACTACTTAGAAAACAAAAAGCTTTACCAGAAGCCAGAGATTCTGTGAATGGTAGACTTTAATCATGAGGAGCATTGCGTCTTTTGATGAGACTCGGTGACGATTCCTCAGCCTTTGCAGAAAATATGAAAGCCTCAGGGAGTTTATGATCAAGAGTAGAAGTTAAGGCGCAATCGAAACAGTGGTTTGATTTTCTTTCAGAAGATGTATGTCCGAGTCGGCCTTAAAGAAGGATAAGCTGGAGACTTTTATAGGTAAAGGGAGGCAACTCTGGGTGGTACGCATAAATGAGATAAATCAGATTCTCGTGTGTAAACATCACAGTGTCTCCCTAGTGTGAGGAGCTGGAAGAGTAAATAAGATCCAAAATGTACAGTAGACACTGTGAAATGAGAAGAAACTATTCAAAAGGAAAGAGAAACTGGGAGGGGGGCGGAGAACAGAAGGAAGGGAAAAGCAGGTATATATACAAGGTAGTTACACTGCTAACTTCTCTTAATTCAGTAAAAAGAAAGGTTCGTGCTATTATTGTTTGAACAATTAAGTGCCTATATCTTGCACTCTTGAGTAACTAAAGGTAACAATAGGCAGTGTATTGACCTTTGTAACTCTATTATCTTGTTTTGAAATTTTTTGTCCTTAAAATATAAATAAATAAATAAAAGATGCATAACGGAGCTTCTCCCAAAGAAAAAGCTCACTGCAAATCTCCAGGCAGGCCAGATTTCACTGAAGTCTGTTGTGTTACATTTTGAGTCTGTGTGTGTGTGTGTGTGTGTGTGTGTGTGTGTAACCTTTTAGAGAATTTGCTAGCTGCAGTTCTGTTTCAAAGTGCCTTGCGGTACTGCAGCTATAACAGATACCTGTGTTTCCCATTACCCTTTAGTAGTACCCCAGATTTGATTAAAATCTGCTGTTCTCTAGAAAGCTAGGGAACTCACACCCTGAGCTAACTAGTGTGGGCTTTAGAGCTAGCCCCGAGTTCTGGTTCATGCTCCGCATCTAAGGAGGTACGGGACTTAACCTTGCTAGGGCTGTAAAATGTGTTTGACTTGTCAAGTGGTATCAGCAGTAGCACTTCACCTGGGAGGGCTGTGAGGGCTCAAGTGCGGGGACAGGTGTGCCTCATGCTAGACAGATGCACTCAGGACGTTTAGTTACTGTCTCGCTGATTTCTAACTTGGGACAAATGCTAAGTGCCCAGTAAGTTTAAAATCATTTTGATGTGCAGTTTATGTTCTGATTCTTCAGAACACACCAGTTTGTTCCTCTGCATCTCTGGCAGGGGTCAAGGGGTTATTACAATTTGATCATCTCATCTCATCTGAATTGATTGAAGTTATTTCTGCTAACATTTGGGCACCGTAATCCTCTCAGCCTTAACATTTGGAACTGTTCCAGAAACATAATTGAGAGGACAGTGTTCCTATGTTGTCTGACACAACTTG